ACCTGACCCGGTCAAGTTTCTTATACCATATGATAGCCAATACTTGCCCCAACATGCATGGGAAGTTTCATCACGATCCATCAACCGATGTCCGTACCACCGGCAGGAAACCTCGGGCGTTGGCACTCAGTTTGTGAAAATCCGGCCGGAGGCTGTTCCCTTTGTGACGTCATAACTCCGTGACCTGACATGACCCGGTCAAAATTTTTCTATCAAAAGATGCGCAAGGTTTGCCCCATAAGGTACCCAAAATTTGGCGGCGCTGCGCGCCGCCGTTTTTGTACTATTTCCGAAAAACCTCAGGGGGGGTTGCACCAACCCCCCCCCCTACATGGGCGAGGGTTAAGATGCTTCACGCATTTAAATTGTTCGTTTTTTTTTTGCGTGCATTATGTAGAAATAATGATTATTCCGACCATGTTCTGCAGCAATAAATACATTGGCATTGGAACGATAACCTTGTTTAGTTGAATTACGTTGACAGCAAAAGTATGTAAACACGCAGTCACTTACTTTTGCTGTTGCTGTTAGTGAACACACAATCCGTAAATATCTTCTTTGAAATTGGTTCTTCCGCTCAGAATATTCAGTAAAACTTTGTCTGGGAAAATCAAAAAGCCCTAGGGCCGAATCGTTTCCCAAATACCTTCAACATTAGCCGAGGCGGGCCGAAGCCATTTCCCAAATGCACGTGCTAATGTTAAAGGGATATCTCGGCATGTGGTAAAAGCACTAAAATAACCTATAAAAGACCAACACAGAAATCAAAATAAACAAAGCTGGTGTCCTGAACAATCCTTACCAAGAACAATACCACTGTCACAGCTCAACAACATCAACTATAATATTTCAAATTTGACTTTTTTGACCTGAAAGTGACCTGACCAGATATATTCAGCTGAAAATGGTCTTCAAGTGCACAGGAGACAATGCTTTCGAAATGGATTGCTGAAAGATACCATAAAACATGCGTCACGTGACCGATTCATGATATAAAATTCCCGTGACCTAGGATGACCTGGACTTCACCTGAAAAACTCGAAGTTCAAGTTTGGTGCCCTCATTGTATCTAAGGCATATATCAAGGAGTGCGTAAGCCAAAAATGAGCCTGATCGGGCTTGTGAGCTAGCGGCCTGAGCCTAAATTGTGAACAAGCGAAAATGCTAATAATTTTTACTTTGACCTTACCCGTGACGTCATCGATCACCTCGAAGTCTATGAAATTAAGCTTCGCTCGGCAGTTTTTCCAGGGCTATCAGACGCCGTTAACCCGCGCACCGACGGGGGTCTGCGCCAACTTCGCACCGACGGGGGGGGGGGCGGATGACCCCCCCCCCCCCCCTGAGATCTCGAGAACGAAGCAAGGTAGCGACAAGCGGTAAACGGCATCGGATACGCACGGACAAGGTCTACAATTCTTACAAAGGTTATTTTCAGGTCAGGTCAAAGATGACGTCACACGGGTCGAAAAAGTCAAAATGGCGGCGCTAGATGTGGAGAGTTTTTCTCGAATAACTTTCGAATTAGTCAAGATAGGAACAAACTAAGTTCATCATCGTGATCCTCTCGTCAATCCGCATCGAATGATATAATGTTGACCTCGAAAGGTCAAGGTCAAAGGTTGACCTCAGGTCACGTGACCTTGAGGTCATCATGTATATCATTCGATGCGTCTTGACGAGCTGAACACAATGAGACCATCCGCGCGACTGTATCTTGTTCCTGTACGGAGTTATTGGCAAAAAACCGCTGGTGACCTTTGATGACGTCACATGACCTTACAGCTGCCCAACAGCAAAACAGACCTCAAGGTAGTGAAGGTTGATCGTATATGAAGTCAGGTATGGTATATGGGGCCATTCCAACCCGTTTTAGTGGTAAAAACAGGGAGTTGATTTTTCCCCCATTGACTATATATGTAATGGGGAGGTCGCGAAATTGACCTGACCTTAGGTCACCGACATCAAAATTCCGAGATATAAAAATTGTAGCTACTAATGACCAGACATGTACATGGATCCGAGTGATGGATCTATGATCTCAGTGGATCTCGAGGCAAATTGCAGACTCGGATCTATGATCCCACCGAATCCTGTGTGAAAAATGTATCCTGGATCTATGATCTCACAGGATCTGACGATAAACGAAGAACATGGATCTACAGGGTGTTTCACTAAAAGTGTCAAAAAGTAAAAGGTCATGATGCACATAATAACAATGTTTTCTACGGAAATTTGCATACCATTTCATCCGCAATTGTTGGACATTTGAATATATAAAAACGATAGCACCGTCACTCAAACCTATTCCACATATCCGCCCCTTCTTTTGATGCACCGTTTCGGCACGTGTCCGGAGGTGCCTCACAGCCCGTTTTCATCTTCAGCGTCCAGACTGTCGGCAAAGCCTTGAATGGTGCTCTTCAGCTCCCGAAGTGATGCGACTTGAGTCTTCCTCAGCTCTGCGAGAGCTACTGACCAAAACCAGAAGTAAAACGGTGACAGATCGGGGCTTTGCGCTGGCCAGAGGCGGGCGGCGAGGCAGCTGATTTTTCGGTGCAGGAACTTCTAATCCAGCCAGTTCCTGGTGGTTACAGCCATTATAGTGGCTGTTTTTGATAACTTGTAAGGCCTTAGCTATTTCTGATGTTGAAATTAGCTTCTTGTTATCTTCAAAGACCCTCAAAAAGACCCTGACCTTTTCAACGGTTTCCGCCGAGAGGTGGGGGACCCCGTCTTTTTTGAACTGCGACCGGCATCGAAGGAACCCTTTTAAACCTCTCAAGAAGCCCTTTGAACCTTTTATAATCTGGAACGTAGCGAGGTGAGAGAATAAAACGTTTCCTGAAAAGTCGGCATACGGTTTCAATGTTTCTGATGGCACCAAAGGTAAGTGTAATTCACCCCTCCTGTTGAGGTGTAAATAACCTGTTCTTGTTCTGCATAAGGAAAAAAACGACTAATAACTTTGGCCTCCTGCCCTCGCTCCGTATGAGTGTAAAATATATATTAAATGGACAAAGCATAAATGTCCAAAAATTTGTAACCAAGCCACGTGCGCAACCACGTGATTTGCATATTTTATATAACTTTAATAGGCATTTACTTTTTGACACTTTTAGTGAAACACCCTGTATGATCTCAGTGGATCCCGCCATGCACAGCATTTGAAACCAGGTTTTCAAGTGTTTCTATGTCAATAAGTGCCATAAAACTATGGATTATGACGTGTTATCACATAAAAACACTAAAAAAGAACGTTTGTGAGTTGCAACGAGTGATCTTTCGGGATTTCTGTGTTGAACAAAAATACATGAGGATCTATGATCCCACTGGATCTCAAGCAAAAATACTAGACGCGGATCTATGATCCCTACGGATCTCTCGATATATTTAAGAACTGGATCTATGATCCCGACGGATCCGAGATCAGGATCCGTGGGATCAGATCCCAGATCCATTTTCTCGGATCCATGCACATGTCTGCTAATGACCTTATAACATCCTGCGACTTTCAAAGGCCTCCGACATCTACTGTAGCTCTGGCACGGTGACAAAGTTGCAAAAAAGTGACTTGAGGTTGGGTCATTCAAAGTGACCTGGTGACCTGACCTTGAAAGTTAGGAGGTTCAAACTTGCACACCATGTGCAAAATTGATGAGAGAATAGTCGTACAAAATTTCGCCCGCGGTTCTCTCGCTATCCGCGAAAAACCTCAGGGGGGCGGATATCCGCCCCCCCGTCGGTGCGCGGGTTAAAATTTTGACAACCAGCCGAGTAGTTTCGGAGATAGGAGGGGGCCTCTGTAGCCCTCCTCAGACACTCGCGTTATGGAAAATACCTGAGGCAAGCGCAGGTTAATACAGTTCTGGCAATGGCCGAACAAATATCGAGTAAAAAGGGAATAGAGTGTGACTTATTGTTTCGACCTGACACACGTGAGAAGGCAACGATCAGCTTTGATGCCTCCTGGAAAATATTAACGCCGATGCACCCCCCCTCCCCTTTCTCCCGCGCGGCGCAACGGGACACGGAAATCCCAAAACACGGTTGGTGCGTGCTGTCCGTCGCAGGGACGGGCCCGGGAGGTGCCGCACTGGCCAGTCTGTTTATCTGAATCATCCGTCGGGCGGGGTATATATCGGCCGGCCCCGGCCAGCCCGTCAGTCCACTGAGCGAGCCCCGCTCCGCACACACCCGTCCACAGACCCGAGTCACGGCACCTCTCAGCACCATGAGAGCCGCACCGCTGCTGCTGCTCGGCCTGGCCGCCCTGCTGGCCGCCGGTGACGCCCAGGGCACGGCCAACTGTGACCTCGGTGACCCAGCCGGCCTGAGCGACTGCATCAAACAGCTGCTGGTCGAGGCGCGGCCCAAGGTGGCCCAGGAGGCCGACCCCCTCCGTCTGCCCAACAACCGGGACGGCGACGTCGAGCTGTCCAACATCCGAGTCCACGGCATCTCCGGCTACAGCGTCGACGGCCTGTCGGTGTCGTTCCCCTCCGATCAGCAGATCGCCGTCAGGGCCTCCATCAGCTGGCCGCACATCAACGGCAAGCTCGACGCCAAGATCCGCAAGTGCAAGAAGGTCATCTTCAAGAAGGTGTGCGTCTCCGTGCGCGGCCGACCCGAGGTGCGCGTCGGCCGCACGGTCGGCTCTCTCACCACCACCCTCAACGTGCACGTGGGCGGTGACGGCCGGATCACGGTCACCGCCAGCGGCACCAGGGTCTCCCTCAACCTGGCCAGCATCCGCGTCAAGGCCAACCTGCGCGGCGCCATCGGCTTCTTCAACCGGCTCTTCGGAGATCCGGCCAGCAAGATCACCACCAAGCTGGCCAACAAGTGGTGGGGCAAGAACAAGGGCAAGATCGAGGGCAAGGCGAGGGACGCGCTGGACAAGGCGGTGCGCGAGAAGGTGGCCGTTCACCTGGCGCAGCTGCTGAAAATCTGAGCGGACAGCGGCGGTCAGCAACGGTATGGTACGTGCTGCTGAAAATCGGCGGTCAGCAATGGCATGACACGTGCTGCGTTTCCCACAGGTGCTTCTCGCAAGGTAGAGATGGTTCCCGCTTTGTTTCATTGACGTTGTTGACCTGCAAGTTGCAGCAATGCAACTTTATGACAATCGAGCTTTAATGGATGATCGCTGAGCATTGTATCATTTAAGCTTTAAACTTTTTGGTGGAATATGCGTTGGAATATGAGTTGGCGCATTGTTAAGTGACGAGTGAATTAAGACATTTTTAAACAATACATGACTGTGTGGAATTGACGTGTCATATTTAAAGTAGCTCGAGAGGTCCAGTGCGCAACTTAAACAGTGAAAGCAGTTGAAAGGACAGATGAGACAACATCAGAGTTACAACAGAATGTGAAAATGAGACGGATTTTAGAACTAATGACCAGAGTCATAAGTTTTAGGAAGTGTATGAGATGAGGATGAGGAGTTAGCGCGCTCTTTCAGGCGGTGTTGGCATGGTTCACCAATGGCTGGTTCATGGTTGATGCGAACACATTGGCACTAAAAAGGGAAGACACGATAGGGGAGAGTGGGGTGCGTTGTATCAGTTTTTACTCCGAGACCCATAACCTCGTAACTATCCGTGATAAACTCATTATTTCCATACTATCTCCTTCCTTGATTCTTCTGCTTTTTTGTGCAAAGTAACTTTTCCGCTACCTCTACCAGTTTTTCTTCTACGGTCTGCCGAATAGAGCAATGTTTTTGATACAACTTGCCCCATGGCTTGGGTGAGTTGTATCACATGGTGGGGTAATTTGTATCACTAGGTATTTCACGTTTCAGGAAGTGTGCCAGGGCATATTTTAAGGATTTTTCACTGCGTCCCAAAGGTGGCATAGGGCACACGCTTTGATCGGAAAGGGCACATTGCAAGCGAAATAGTATATAGGTAATGCAAGTGAGATAATGTACAGATACATTGTGTACTGTGCTGGTGGAGGGGCACTGCAAGCGGGATATTGGGAGCGGGCTGTGATTGCTTTTGCCAGTCTCGAAATTCGCCCAGTCGTAGTGCGTTCTTTATCCGCATTCAAAAGGCGGACCGGCGATTTAATGGCATTTACATTGTTGTTAGTCGCTCGTTTTCCTGAACGGCGTTGGGCGTGTTTGACCTCCCTTGACGCACCAAATTGTACCTATGCTTAGAGAATAAAAATGAATATGCACATGACTGATACATACGCCTCTTCATGCGTTTTTCACCCTTATCAATCGATTCAAAATAGAAATTGACGTGTGAAACATTGCCAATTTGCATTGAAGATACCATGTGTTTGAAATAATTAGATTACGTAAGGTCAAACAGTACCCACCTAAGTTGTGACAAGAAATCATCGGATTTTAAAGCTACATAAAAAATCCATCATAGATTAATGCTTTGGATGAACGGATGCTCTGGAATTGGATGCTTCGGATTTCGCTTCCTTACTGCATATCATGTAATATAACCCAAACTTTTCCCAATGGAAGTTCCTTTGTTTAATTATTATGCCCAGAAATGTGTCGATTTTGTGCCATTTCCGGGCGCTTTGGGGGGGGGGGGGGGGAGCATGGCCCCGTGGCCCCCTCTATATCCTCCTATGGCCAGACGGCCATGACGGCCCTGATCTGACCGTATGCCATCAAATGTCAAACCTCGCAATGATGCGATACTTTTTTTTCGGAAAACGTGCATGTATCTCAAAAACTATGATAGCTAGGAGGGCGCAATCGATAGGAGAGAAGCAATCGATATATCTTGAACAGCTCTTTCGTCAATATTTCGTCAGAATTAAGTTCAGATCAACGGTTAAGGCTCCATAGCCAAAAACGGGTAAAATTACAATTTTGTCAATATAGGTTTCATGAAAAGCTTTTGAACTAAAAAAGGTAGAGAATTTTCGTTTGCACGATCGTTCTTCTCTCATTTTTACCTCGAAATGTCAAGGTCAGAACTTGACCTCACATTAAGGTCATTTCGTGACCAAGATAGATCATGTCGCATATCAGTCGATGCGTTTCGATGAGGTACCTCAAAACAATGATACAATCCACTGTGCATGCAATAGCCCTGTAGGGCCGGATTTTGGGCCAGGCTCCGGGCCTGCGGGCTCCAACTTGACATCTCTAAACAGGACTTTAGGGAAGGGCAGGACACAGAGTCTGAGCCCTAAGGACAGGGCAGGCACAGGCCATGAAGCTAAGATAAGACGGATACTTGAGGGCTGGGTAGGATGCAGGGTCCGAGGGCAAGGCAAGGCGCGGGTCTGAGGCTATCATTACACAAGGCCGGAGAGTAGTGCAAGACACAGGGCCTTAGAACACCTGATGGTCAACACACCTGATGGCAGGGCAACACGCAGGATCTTAGAGCAGGGCAAGAAATAGTACCTAAAGGTAGAGCAAGACATAAGACACAGGTATGGCACAAGGCCCGAAACACCGCCCACGTCTTGTCATACCTTCGGGCCCCGAAGGTATGACAAGACGTGGGCGGTGTTTCACGGACGCTGCTATCAAATTCCGCGAGCTGGCGTCATACTTGTGGTAGTGTTTGAGCAATGGGCCTGTTGATGTCTCCATGGGAACCCAATTTGACACTGTAATAGCAGCGTGCTGCTATCACCGGTGAAACAGGGCCAGGGTATGGGGCCTGAGGGCAGGGCAAGGCTCAGGGCATGAAGGCAGAACAAAGCACAGGTTCTGAGGACAGGTAAGGGCACGGGGCATGAGGACGGGAAACGGCACGGGATCTGAGGACGGGAGACACCACAGGGCCTGATGACAGGGCAGGGCACAGCGCCTGAGAGCGGGCATGGGACACGAGACCTTAGGGCAATGCAGAATACAGGTCTTGAGGGCAGAGTAGGACACAGGGTCTGATGGCATGGGACGGCACAAGGCCTGACGACAGGGCAGAGCACAGCAACTTAGGGCGAGGCAGGGCACGGGCCTGAGGGCGATACAACGCATGAGGCTTAATGGCAGAATAGGACACAGGGTCTAAGGGCAGGGCAATGCACATGAGGCCTGGAAGCAGAACATGACAGGACAGGGCCTGAGGCAGGGCAAGGCATTAGGCTCGAGGATGGGCGCGGGGCCGGGGCATGAGGACATGGGAAGGCACAAGGCCTGATGGCAGGGCAGGGCACAGTACCTGAAGACAAGGCAGCGGCACGGGATCTGATGGCAGGACGTGTCACAAGGCTTGAGGGCAGAGAAGGGCAGGGGCCCCAAACTAGGGTAGGGCAGGGCACGGGGCCAAAAGACGGGAAGGCAGCGCATCAAATTTCCAGGCAGAATATATAAAGTATCGTGTTTGAGGGCAGGGCAGAGCGGGGCACAGGGCCTGAATGCAGAGCAGGGCACAGGGCTGAAGAAAGGGCAGGGCAAGGTACAAGACCTAAGGACAGGGCACTGGGCAGTGGGCAGGGCACATATCCTAGGGGTATAGTAGGGAAGAACATAATAAGGTGTATGACCAAGGGTAGGGCAGGGCACAAGGACTGGAGAGGGCATGTATGTGCTTAGGTACATAGTAAATCAGGGCACAAAGCAATCGGAAAGCCAACATCTTTTACACAGTAAAAGACCGAGGCATGTTACTTATTTTTGCTCGCACTTTACGGCTGAAACCGTGGCATTTCAGTGTGGGACGCAGTGGTCCAAATTTCGCGAGGGCTACGTCCCAAAGGCAGGGGGCTGCGTCCCAAAATGGGACGCAGTCAGTATGTTAAAATATGCCCTGAAGTGTGCTTGCTACTGGTTTTGAACATAACAACATTAAATGGGGTTAATACAATGTATATGCTCAATCAAAGGCTTCACTTTTATTAGACCAAACTTAGGTCAATGCAATCCGAAAGAAACATCGAAACGAACGAAACATCAACAGACTAGATGCAAAAGTGGCCCGTTAAGAGCAAAGAAGCCAACACATTGTGCCGAAATGGAACGAGTATTGACTAGCTACCTACAAACGCGAGACAGGGCTTAGCTTTCGCGATCAAAAGCAACATGCCCATAGGTACATACATACATGTTACAACATACCCCACCCGGCTCTGATACAACAATGTACCTCGCCGCCATCATGGAAAAAACATCCTCGTGCTCAAAAACAGCGGACAGCCCAAGGCTATAGAACTCCAGGTAAGGACACCAGCCGTTTGACCTTGAACGCCGCCGGCCGGCCGATGACGTCATTGGAGGCAAGCCGGCTCGGCGGACGCATCGAGCGAGCGTATAACGGAGGAGCGTTGGGACGTTGCGGGAGCCGGGGAGAGATTTTAAAGCGTTTGCATACCACCATTGTTATGTTGATTGATCTAGACTGCATTCTTATAAAGCTCGACGCATCTTAGGCCTGGATGGTGCGTACATTCGTAGAACGGTCCGACGTCCGTGGTCGAAGCTGTCTACTCTATGTATATGTACCAAAAGACGCCAAGACCGGTGCAATAACGGCGACCCGATCCCGTCTCTGGCGATTCTAGGACTCGTTAGGACCCAGGCCGAGTCTGACCCGTCTATTTTTAGGGAAACAGGGTGGGTGAATTGACAACCGAATACCGATGGTTAGAATTGATCCCGTCGTCGAGCGATGGTTGATTGACAGACAACACATGTTGTAGTGGGCGGATAAGCATCAGGGATAATGCCTGAACGTAGGCAAGCATAATTGGTGTGCCATATTGTTTAGGAATATAAAATCGTAACGGAGGTCCTTGAGGATATTATCTCTACATTACGAGGATTCACCACCAGTGAAATTACTACTGTTAAACCCTCGGTCCCGGGCAACGCCGGGGAGCTGCAGTATCCGGCGGCCACCTCGTCGACTCGCAGGTCCTGTGGGCTTCCGTCCGTGATGCTTTAGTGCTTCACCCAGAGGCACGGATAGAGCAGTAGGATGTGGGGTGAGGTGTCTGTACGCCTCTTCATTGTAGGTACGACGCATACAGCCGGCCCAGTCCCGCCGAAGCTCGATAATCGACCGTGACATATTCTTAACTGGCGGATCCAGGAAGCGGTCTTAAACACATCGGGGAGCATATACCCTAAAAAAGGTTTCTGTGAATTAAAAAAAAAACATCGGATTTCGGTTCCTTGCGCACTACTGTGCAGTCCGATCAATAAACTTTTCCTCATAAAAGTTGTGAAGTTTTCGTTTTATTCTCGAAAGACGATTTCGGACGCTGCCCCGGATGTGGGCCTGTGGGGGATAACATTTGTCCCAAATGCCTTCCCTTGCAATCGCCAGCGGGCTGCCCCACCCTGAGCTTAACTAAAAACGTCTTAACCCGCGCCCGGCTGGGGGTCCTGGATTTCCACGCCCTGCTGGGGGGGGGGGGGGTGTTTGAACACCCCCCCTTGTAACTCGGCTCCTGGGCCACGTAGCGATACGCGGAAGGCGGCGTTCGAAAGAGCGTCAAAAATAATGACGAAATCACTTCGGTCAATTTTTTGGTCAGGTCAAAGGTCAGGTCACCAGAGGTCATTGAAGGCAAAATTTCGCCGATTTCCAGGTCGAATGTCGAAAATTTCCAAGAAGCCAATGCATAACTCAGGAACCAATAGAGCTACAGCGCCGCGGAAAAGCGCATTCGATAGCCCTATTAACGCCCTTTCTGAGTAATTCCCTCAGATTTGACCTAGCGTCAACGGTTTTGCCTCCAGGGGGCAAAAACTGCAAAAATAGCCGATTTTTTCGGAAACAGTTTTTCTGCAATAACTTTTGACCCAAGCCTTGTACGAGCTTACTTTCACCGGCATCGTGTTCCTCTCGTCAAGACGCATCGAATGAACTATAACTTGACCTTGAAAGGTCAACTTGAAAATTTGACCTCAGGTCAAGGTCATGACCTGACCGGAAAGGGTCATGTTGCATATCAGTCGATCCGTATCGTCGAGCTGAACACATCTAAGGCGTTTTCATCGCTCTAGCATGCCTCTATCAAAAGTTATTTGCGAAAAACTGTTAGATACCATTCGTGACCTAAGATGACCTCAGGGCATAAACAAGGGTCACGGACACCATTTTCATGTTCAGTGTGTCTAAACCACTTGTAATTCGGTGTTTGGGAGTGTTTATAATGTCTTTCGTCCAAAAGAGGCGCATTTCAATTTTCTCCCATTGACTTATAATGGGGAGGTCGCAAAATTGACCTGACCTTAGGTCATCGATATCAAAATTCTGAGATATACATTTTGTACATGCTATTGCTCTTAGCAATCGCTGAAAGTTTCAAAGCGATCGGTCACTCGGTGTAGCTATGACAGACATTGAAACTTTTTATGAGGTGAGGTCACTTCAAGTGACCTGGTGACCTGACCTTGAATGACCTTGGTCTGAAATTTTTACAACATGTGTAGAATTGATGTATGATAAGGTGTACCAAAAACGGCGGCGCTCCGCGCCGCCGTTTTTGAGATATTCGCGAAAAACCACAAGGGGGGGTGTTCAAACACCCCCCCAGCAGGGCGCGGGTTAAAATTCCACCAGAGAGCCGAATCCGATAACTCATCTCTGGCCCGTTTAAATTACTACGCACCGTACGGCGCCCGGCCCCGTCGGAGCACTGATCCGACCATGATATTTTTGGTTTTCCCCCATCCCAAGCTCCATTAGAAACGTTCTCTCTCCCCATCCAATTGCTCATGATGTCATTTCAAATTCAATACCTACCTCATCTCTGTCTGCCCGCCCATTCATTGCACACTTTACGGCGCGGCGCCCGGCCCCGCCAGAAGGATCCTAGCGCGCTGAGTGGTTGCCTCCAGCCGCGTCATCGCGAGGCCCCGCGGGGCCCGCAAATGAATACATTGCGTGAATAGCCGTGTCGCCCCCCTGGGACAGCTTGAGAAATCCATTTTCACTCACGCAGCCTTAGAACCTACCCTCACCACCGCTACGGAGATCTGACATTAAAAAAAAACATAAAATCGGCTCTCACCCCGAGACGCGTCCACCCAGCCACACGACAGAACAGGGAAAGATGGCGCCCGGAAAACCTCGTCGGCTGGTCGTGCAACGAGCGCTATCTATTGGATAAGTTTGGCACAACTCGCCCTGATACAACTTGGACATGATATAACTCTTTCCGCTCTCCCCTACAGATATTCGAGATGCGACTTCGAAGTTGCAGAGTGGACGTAGAAATGTCTCCATTCCGCAGAATGGGGATGTAGAAACGTAGGAACGTCCTCCTCCGCCACGTCGCGGGGCCACACTGGTCTAGCCGCCTGGTGCTGTCACCTGCCCTCAGAGAAGACATCAACACCCAGCGCAGAGGTCGCTACTAGCCAAGGTGCAGACTGTCGAGGTTTCGGTGTACTGCGAGTGAGAGTACGAGCCTGTGACTGAATATGCCGTCTGATCCATAGCTCTTAGCTATTAGCCCACCAAGGGCTGAGGAAGGGGAGTGTGATTTGACCCCCTTGATGTCAGAAAGCACTAATGCGTCCAGGGGTGCAGAGCCGGAGCCGGAGCCGCCGGAGCCGGCACATTTTTGCCCGGAGCCGGAGCCGGAGACGGAGCCGCCATGACATTTCACCCGGAGCCAGAGCCGGAGCTGGAGCCGATTTTATTGCTCCGAAGCCGGAGCCGGAGCCGAAGCTGTCTGAAATTTCCACGGCTCCGCATCCCTGAATGCGTCACATGAACTTGGAGAAACATCAAACTTTGACGCATGTCCCTCTTTTTGTCAGAAATCATTAATGCGTCACATGAACTTGGAGAAACATCAAACTTTGACGCATGATTTGTCCCTCTTTTTGTCAGAAATCACTAACGCGTCACATGAACTTGGAATAACATCAAACTTTAACGCATCAACGGCTAGCTGCTCGAACGCATGTGCTGAGGTACAACGCATCTCCTCCTACAAATCGTGCATACATTGTGAATGCAGTAAGGCGCGGCCATCTTATGATTAAGGCTCCGAGGTCACTGTTGCGTACTTTCACATTTGATGGCCACTGAATTTCCACTAAAGCCAGGTAACCTCTGCAAGTGCATGTGTGCACAATTTTTTCTTTATAAATTTAGTCCGAACCTTTTGATAGGAAGGATTCACAAAAACAGAGCCACCGCTAAGCGAAGCTTGCTGCGGTGACCCTGCCCTCTACCCTCCGATCGCGCAATTCCAGTTCTATAGCAGAATTCAGAGTCCAAAGTTAAACGTGCGCACGTAGCCGCGCACGGCCGGTCCCCTCACTGACTTCGCCTGGCTACGACAATGCCACCAACCGCAACCATACCTATCAGGAGCCCATAAATGTCAAGCGCCCGTCGCGCTTCGAACCCGGACTGTTACGAGTATAACCGGGAACGCGTGCTCTCACGGCACGCGCGGAGTTCAACGCTCTACCCATGAGCTACGGGTCCGGAAAATCTACGGGATTACGGGACAATGCTTTGCTGTTTAATCTCCTTAACTTGCGGCCATGTCACCAGAGAAGTAGCAGAAGAGGAAGCTGCCTTTTCTTCACACGTCCCATCTACATTCATGCTAGCAGAGGCCTCCATATGCAATGCAAACTGTTTATTGCATCACGACACCTCGAAGCTCATCATAGTACAAAGTGCATGCTAGATGCACGTATGCAACAACACATTGGTTATGTTATAAATGATAGCGGTAGGACAAGTGGACTCATTTAAAGCGCTAATTGCGAGCAAATCGCATACAGATATAACTGCATCAAAAGGACATTTTTCCCTTCAATAAACAGCACAGACAACAGGTCTGCCTTACAAAGGGATCTTGTGTCTCAAACATAAGCATATCATAAGCTCATCTTGACTGACTTCAGAGTGACTTCAGTCCTGGCTGACTTCCCTCGACGTGATGGTTCAGAGTAGAGATGTCAATCAGATACCAACATTTTGGTATACCGATACCAAACCGATACAATCTTGGTATTTGGTATTTCAAGGCGAAAGCATTTGGTATTTTGCTGGTATTATGAATCCTCACTAATGTAAAAGAGGCTGAGAATTTGGTAAAAAGTTGGTATTTTCCTCATATTCTCAATTCGGTTCGGTTTGGGTATTTTTCATGGATATTGTTGGTATTTGGTTTGGTATCGGTATCACGATTTTCCGTAATTGACATCACTAGTTCAGAGCTTCAGAAGACGGCTAAGGTGAACCGCCAGCCTCTCCTTCACCGCGCTGTCCAGAGCGTCCCTAGCTTTACGTTCGATCGTGCTCTTGTGCTTGCTCCACAGACTTTTGGCCTTCTTGGTCAAGTAATTGCTCGCCGGGTCCCCGAACACCCGATTGAAGAAGCCTGTGACGCCAGATACATTAGATTTGACCCGGATGCTGGCCAGGTTGAGGGAGACCCTGGTGCCGCTGGCGGTGACCGTGATCCGGCCGTCACCGCCCACGTGCACGTTGAGGGTGGTGGTGAGCGAGCCCACCGTGCGGCCGACGGTAATCTCGGGCTTGGCGCTCGCTGATGCACACAGGTCAGTGATCCAGATATCAATGCACCTGCGCGCCCAACCGTCGAGCTTGCCTTTGATGTGCGGCCAGCTGATGGTGGCACTGACGGCCATCTGCTCCGCGGAGGGGAACGACACCGACAGACGGTCGACGCTGTAGCCGGAGATTCCGTAGACCTTGATGTTGGTCAGCTTTGTATTTTTCTCAATTTGGTCGGGCAGACGGAGAGGGTCGACCTTCTTTGCGACTGTGGGTCGCGCCTCTATGAGCAACTGCTTGACACAGTCGCGCAGGCCGGCTGGGTCACCGAGGTCACAGTTGGCCGTGCCCTGGGCGTCACCGGCGGCCAGCAGGGCGGCCAGTCCGAGCAGCAGCAGCGGTGCGGCTCTCATGGTGCTGAGAGGTGCCGAGAGTCGGGTCTGTGGACGGGTGTGTGCGGAGCGGGGCTCGCTCAGTGGACTGACGGGCTGGCCGGGGCCGGCCGATATATACCTACCCGACGGGCAACTCGGGTATGCAGACCTCTCACCTCAGGGCCCCAGTGACTCTGCGTTGCGGAGTTGACACGGTCCTGTTTGGTATTTTGAGCGTCGGCTAGCAACCGATTTATTGCGAAGGGATCAGACAAAATGCAAAAGAAGTGTATGAACTTTAATAAGAACGAACGTTGCGTAGTTGTTAGAGTTTCGCCATGCCCTGGCCGCAGCTCGGTCAGGTGTTAGGTAGAATACATTTCAATGGCCTTCGAAGCCAGGATTTTCCAGGGGAGGGGCCCGGGCTTACAGGGGCCTCCGTATTCCACTTGCCAGGGGGCCTCTGTCTATCGAAGGGGCTATGTTTTTTTTTTTTTTTTTTTTTTTATAAGGTTTTTTATTTATTTTTCTCAGTCACATAGCTCGTTATACATACCAACACATATCTTCCAACAAGCACGCATCACATACATAGGTACATACAACACAACCAGTGAAACTTAGACCACGGAAAGTAAACAATCATATAATCGTTTATGTGCTTCGAGCTGTATTCTACTTTTTCTATTTTCTTGACACGAACTTTTATTTATTTCAGCCAAACCATAGCGCCTAGTGAACTCCCTCAACGCTACAATGTTAGGGGAGCTCTTTACAACCTTAGTCCTGTATATATACCGTTTTACAATCAAAAGGATCCTCTGTGTAGCGATCTGCACGTCCTCCGCTATTTCCAGATCCTTTCCTATACCCATTATGATTGTCACCTTATCTATCCTAATTCGAATGCCGAGCTTGTTTCTCATAAGATTTTCTAGTTTTTCCCAGATACCCCTTACCTTGTGACATGTAACAAATAAATGAAGTAATGTCTCTCGTTCAGCATTGCAAAAAGTACATAAGGGACTGCAATCCGTAAACTTTGCTGCAAAGGTGTTGGTAGTCAGTATCCGATGCATAATCTTATCCTGAAACCACAGTAAGCTAGTGTCCTTTGTACAAGAAACAAACCTTCGATAAAGTTCGTCCCACTGAAACTCTGTTTCTAAATCCCGATTCCATTTTTCTTCTGATTTAAGGGGCAATTCTTCAGGTCTATAGTTAAATCTAATTAATTGTTTGTAATAATGTCTGCATCCTGTTAAGGGTATCAAAACTGCTTCCAGCGCGGGCTGCATCTTGGGTCCTACCATACGATAGGGCACTTGCCCAGTAAAGGCCTTTTTTATGGCTCTTAAAATGCCCATGTGCTCAATCATTGATATTCTCGTTCGATAGGATTGCGTAAAATCAACATATGATAAACATTTCCCTGCAGATGACCAGAAATCGCCCACATACGCACTACCCGAGTCAATCAGCCGTTTATACCAAATTGCTTCTCCACCTCTCTTAAAAAAAGACGAGAGGCATAAGGGCTGCGAATGTATACTTTCAGACAAAACCGGAAAAGTTTTCTGAAACTTATTCCATGCTTTAACGACCTCCTGCCAGAAGGGATTCATTCTTACCGATTCCATTTTCTTTCCACTCAAATCCCCACACGTAAATAATAATTGACTGTTTGGAATGACATTTTGCATGACATGTTCATAATCCTTATCAGAGCATATTATTCTTTTAATCCACGACAATTTCATGGAATCATTAAAAGTACGCAAACAAGGGATACCAAACTTCCTAATCATATGAGTACGTTTAATCTTATCCTGTCCATTGTCCCAGACAAACTTGAAAAACTGTCTTTGAAGTTTTACGATAAGGTCTTCTGGAGGACCAGGTAATACAGTTAATAGGTTCGTTAGTTTCGAAAGTGCTAGCGTTTTGAGTACCGTGCGCTTACCGTACACAGTAAGCTTTCTTCTGAGCCACCCCTTCAGAAGGTTTCTAATATCGATCATTTTTGCTTCAAAATTTATGGAGCTCATATCTAGCATGTTGCTTGTAAAAATAATGCCCAAGTACTTGAATTTTTCTTTAATAACATCAAACGAAGAATCAGTTACAAACGCAGGAGCCTGAAAAGACCCTAGCCACAAAAGTTGTGTTTTGTGCATGTTTAGGAACAGACCAGAAATCAAGCTGAACTCGGATACCGTTTCCACACAACTAGTATAACTGCTATACGTTCCATCTAAGATAAAAGTACAGTCATCTGCATATTGTTCAACTTTTTTTTCCACATCACCTATCCTGTATCCTGAAATGGAAGCATCATTCTGTATCATAATCCCTAATACTTCTACGCAGAGAATGAAAAGCAGCGGTGAAATACAATCACCCTGCCGACAACCTTGGCTTATCGGGAAAAAATCAGTCGAAGTCTTGTTTTGAGTTATACATGAATTTGCTCCAGTCAACATAATCTTGATCCATCGGATCAACTCCGGACCAAAATTAAAAAGTTCCAGCGTTTCAATAATAAAGACGTGATTAAGAGTATCAAACGCCCTTTTGAAATCTGCAAATATGATCAGTCCCTTTTTATCAAAGCCTGCGTGCTTGGCGTCCCACATAATGTCATATACTGTTCGGATGCATTCCCCTATATATCTGTTTTTCATAAACCCCTTCTGATTGACAGATATCAGTTTGTCCATTACCTTACGCAGACGATTTGCTATCGCTGCTGATAGTATTTTTTGAGTCGTATTTAACAAAGAAATAGGTCTCCAGTTTTCTATTCTATCTTTTGGCTTTCCACTCTTCGGGATTAAAGTAATCATGCCTTGTTTCTGAGAGATGGACAACTGACCATTTTCGAAACCATAGTTTAGGGATCTGACTAAGAATATTCCTAAATCTTTCCAAAAGAACTTGAAAAAGTTCGACGTAAAGCCGTCAGGTCCAGGAGATTTATCATTATGCAATTTAGCCACCGCACTACTTGCCTCCTGAACAGATAGCATTCCTTCTATCTCCATTCTCTCATCCGTTGAAAGTCTCGGAAAATTATCGCCCAGTCGGTGCCTGATATCACCTAGCTTCTTACGCCTCCCTTTAGACCTAAATACTTCCTCAAAGAAATCTTTCAAATGGCTCATTATTACATTTTGGTCATGGGTTTCATGCCCATTTACCTCTAAACTACCTATGTACTTTCTAGCATATTGGCGCTTTTCGAGAGAACAAAAATATCTTGTTGGACGCTCACCGAGCTCAATCCATTTGGCTTTTGCCCGAAGAAGCATCCCTTCTACCTTCTTCTCCCGAATCAGATAAAGTTCGTTCCTCAGTCTCTCTTCTTCCTCGATAACCCTAGAGTCGCCTGTTGCATCATTCATTAAATTCTGTAACCTGTTGACGATGCGTTTTTCTTCTAAATTTGTATTCCTCTTTTTACGGGCTGCATATTGAATACAAATGCCTCTCAAGTGACACAGCAAGGTTTCAAAAAAGAGTTGATCGTTTACTGTAAACTGAATATCTGGATCCCCTTGTATTGCTTCCATAGAGTATGGGGGTAAAACGTAAAGCCTTTTAATGTGTGATATTTCCGTCTTGACAAGATTGGCAAATTTCTCATCCTTAAGCAGACTATTATTAAACTTCCAAAATAAGCCTCTCTTATCTACTTGTGGATTCTTGAATGTTATTGTAACTGCATTATGATCCGTTCTATACCCATAAGAAATATCCGATGACGTGATATATGACAAAAGTTCTGGTGACACCAAGAAGAAATCCAGTCTAGAGTATTTGGCTGGATTTTGTTTTCTCCAAGTATACCTTAATAAATTTAAATGCTGCTCTCGCCAAACATCTATCAGATTTTCTTGTTCAATTACATCTAACACTACCCTTCTAGCTCTAGGATTGCCTATCTGTCGATAAAACTTGGTATCTTTTTCTTCGTTCATCACTAAATTCCAGTCGCCCACAAAAATAACTGGTAGTTGGTCGACACATGAGTGGAAAATCTTATCAAATAGATCCACAAAAAAAGATGGGTCATCGTCGTTTGGTCCATAAAGCACCACCAGAGTACATCTGAAATATCCATCGAACTCGACATTCATAATGATGTAGTTACCTAAATCGTCCGAAACATAACTATGAACTATCACCGGCGCCCCAGGGCTGGGCAATACCACTATGCCTCTTGAATTACCGGATCCACAACTCATGAATACATCAGTGCCCCACTCCGAGCGAATCCTATCCTTCATTTCTGGGGTAATGTGCGTGTCCACAAGACAATACAGTGCGCAGCTAAGTCCCTTAATGTACTGAAACACGTCTCGTCTCTTTTTGAACTGACGTATCCCTCTAACGTTAACGCTAAGCACTGTTAGACTCATACTCATTCTCTATCCTTTTTGTGTGACTTGATTGCGTATTTGACAAAATAAAAAAGGAAACTGATGAAAAGCAAAGCAATAACATAGACGAAAAAATCAAATACAGCTCGTTCACTACGTCGCTCGTCGGAAGGATCCAAAGCATCGCTACGTTCCGTGGATGCCACCTACCTGCAAGCACAAATAACATAAAGAACACTTGCTGATCACCAGTCAATACCAGTGCAAATACCTTACAATGGTACCTTAGACACCTTACCAACAAACGACGCGTAATAACTCGCGCAACATATAACATCGAGCCTATGAGACTGCGTAGGGTATAACTCAACAGAAAAACTCCCGTATGTCCCGTGAGCCCCCACTAGGACCACGAGACGGCTGCGACGATCGGACCACGTCGGCAGACAAACGGTCCTCTACTGGACCCGAACCTAGTGACTGCTCCGACACCTTAACACTCCCCCGCCCCCGAGCAGGCTCCTTAGCTCTCGTTCCCCCCTGAGCAGACACACTCGCTCCCAGGTCCCCGTCGTTCCCGCCAGAGCGCCGAGTGCGCTCCTCCCTCTGCAACCCGCCGCCCCGCGACGAGAGCCCCATCGCCCCCTCGGAGGTGGCCGGAGACACAGTCTGCATTGGAGACTCCCCGCCACCAGACTCACATGATAGAGTGGC